CTCTCTCTCTCTCTCTCTCTCTCTCTCTCGCCCCGCTCGCTCACCTGCACGTTGCTATGTTTAGATGTCGCGGCCCTGATGCTCTCTCTGTACCGTATGCTCGCACGTGCCTCGTATGAATATTACGCGCTCACAACCTCAACGTCTTGCAAGGGTGAATGAAACATGAATTTACGTAAAAAAGGACGCCAAGTGAACGAATGCTTGCCTGCTTGCAGCTGCGCGCGCGCTAAATACGCCACGCACGCGATACCGTGACGCGACAGGCGGCATACACTAGCGATCCCACCAGAATGACCGTCGCCACAAACATTTGCGCTCTGCCATGGAGATGAGATGAAGAGGTGGCGGCTTGAGCGCCAAGACGAGGGGGGGCGACGCTATCGGAAAAGCACTCACGGGACATAATTTCCGGGATAATTGGCCACGAGTCTGCCAGCAATGGGGCCCGATCCAAGCGCGCCCAGCGCGGCCAGCGACGTGCCCACGCCGACATACTGCCCAATCTGCTGCGGACTTGCAGCCAAAGGGGCGACGCAGGGGGAGAGCAAGCTGATGACTCCGCCAGACAAGAATCCGTACACCGTACCCCAGACGTAATTGCCGGCGCTGTCGCTAACACCTGACCACGCGTAGGCCACCATGGCGGTCAAGAAGCAAGAAATGGTCATCATGTTGAAAAAGCCCACCACTCGATCAGCAAGCGCGCCGATGATGAATCGGCCAAAGAAGGAGCCGGCGTCTGAAAACGCAAAGCGTAGGTGTGTTGCGCGTGTGAGCGCCGCTGGTCTGCCTCCCATCGACACTGCCCACCGCACTCACTGAGAGCAGCGCTCATGTAGAAAGAATTGGTGACGGAAGAGCCGTGCTGAACTCCGTAGGCAGAGATGAAAATCTGGGGGCGTCCGGAGGGGGGCGGCGGTCATATGAGCGCAACGCTCTGCTCAGCATAACTCGGCTGCTATACTCACATATGGGGCGTATAGACCAAAAAATGCTATCAAAGTAGCGATGATGAAGAGAACGTAGCGAGTGTCGGTAAACATCTTGCCAAAAGGCGGTGGGCCTTTGATCTGGTGCAGCGGTAGTCTTGCCTTGAGCAGCAGCGTGGCTGCCAGTAAAAGCGCGAGCTGAATGAAGCCGGCCTGGTGGGCGGTGCGGGCAGGGTGGGAAGGGAGGAGGAGGAGGAGGATGAGGAGGAGGATGTGCAAGGCAGGGGATGCTTCATGTCAGTCCCAGCTCGCACTCTCCTTTCGCCCTTCCAATTGAAGACGCCCAGTCGCCACGCAGCTCACGATGCGAACGGCCCAAGCAAAGCCGAGTGTAGAGTGATTCAGCATGCGATCCAGAATGACTGGCCAGATTACGCCGCCCACGCTGGTTCCACCGACCACGAGACCGTTGACGACGCCCCTCTTTTTGAAAAAGTACTGATTGGGAAGGGAGACGGCGGGGTTAAAGACCATGCCGTATCCGATGGCGCAACACAATCCTTGCGAGAGCAGAAACTCGTAAAAGTGGTCAGAGGCTAGCGAGTTCATCATTGTGCCGACGACGACAAAGACGAGACCGATGGTCATGGGCACTTTGGGACCGAGCCTATCCAACAGGATGCCGGCAGGGATGCCCAAGCCAAAGGTACCCCACAGGTTGATGGCGCCTATCCACGCCACGTCGTTTGGACCGACGCTTGCAGAGCCTGCAAATTGGTGCGTGAGGTAGTATGCTCTGGGGAGGGGGGAGGGGGTGCGATGCGGAGAGGAGAGGGAGGGAGCGCGCGTGTGTGGGCATGAGGGACACGCACGCGTGCATCATTGGGCGGCGAAGCGACACTGTAGCCGTGGCCCTCAAAACTCACTCAAAGACGGCAAAGCTGCTGGTGTAGCCCAGACCAGCGATCATGGCCAGGAAACCGCCGAGGACGGTGAGCCAAGCATCTTTGCCTCCGTCTGGGTAATCCGCGCCAGATTGGTGGTGGTAAGGCTTGGGATGCGGCTGCATGCTTTCGTCGTCGTCGTCGTTGCTGCTGCTCGCATGTCTGCGCAGACCTTGCTCATCGCTGCGCTTGCATTCTCCTTGAAGCGAGTCATCCACGTTGAACTTTTGCACCCGCGAGTCTGGCGTTGCTCCGCCGGCGGAGTAGCTGGGGCGTGTTTGGAGCGACATTCTTGATTGTTGGTGTGATGTTTTCAGGGCAGCGGCAAAGCTCCGCTTGCTTCGTGCGGGCAAGCGTTGCGTGCTTTATCTGCGATTGGCACCGGCCTGGTGGAAGGTAGGACGTTGAATGGGTGGTGGGAGTGGCGTGCAAGCCGTCGGTCGAGAGAGCGAGCGGCACGCACCAGTTGTGAGTCAAGTCGAGTTCTGGCGGTGGATCAGATGATATCGGGGAGACTCGAGACACTGCCTTCATTCATGACTTGTTAGCGCCGATTCGAGACAAGGCAGGCAGCAAGGCAGGCAGGCGGGCTCCATTCATGACTTTTTAGCGCCGATTCGAGACAAGGCAGGCAAGCACGCACGCACGCACGCACGCACGCACGCAGACTCACACACTCACACGCACGCATGCTTTTGGCTTGTTCCTTTGAAACATTCGTGATTCACAGGTTGTGATTCACATTTCATGCTGCATGACGCTCTATATCCAGCGCATGAATTGAATGCTGTGCGCCCATGCGTGCAAATGCCAGCCAGGCCAGCAAGCCCTCAGAGACGCTCTCTTGAATCGCAATGAGAAGCGGGCGAGCATGCATGCATGCGCATGCACGCGCATCGGCGCCCGCGCGGTCACTCCACGCGTACGCGATGTATGCTTCCGTGCAAGCGTTCAGGCAGCCTTGGGACTTTGCTGTCGACGACTGCGCTGATCACAGCTACATTGCACAAAGTTTCTGCCGTTATCAGGCCGCGCTGTACGAAGTTGCCGCTGCTAGCTGCTGCTGGATGCAGCAGTTCACCACCCTCGCTAGCTGCACGTATAACACCGCTCACCCAACTCACCACCACCACTAGCGGCCCTTGGGCGCAGCTCGCAGACGGTAGACGGGCAAAACGCCGGCTTGTGGCACTGCTCGTCTTCGTTCCCATCCAGGCGCGGGCTGACTGTCCCACCAAGGCCCACTCGTGACTCTGCATACGCTCAAAGGCGGCGCTTGCCGCTGCGCGACTCGTGAGTGACTGTGACTGTGA